TCAGTGTTGGGGGAGGAGGTGGGAGAGTGCCAGTGCTAGGAGTATTGTTATCAACAGGTTGATTTTTTTTGGAAAAAGTCAATCTCTTCCTACCCCCCAAAATCCTTATTACCACCTTTGATTTTATCCTTCCAGTCTTTTTTATATGATTGCTTTTGCATAGTTGTAATAATATACACAAAATATTTTATATCCTGCTTTTATCACTCAACGCTGTATACTTTTATGTTACAAGCATTTTTTCCTATATTGTTATGTATCTTCACAAACTTTATTTCTGAGGCTGCCATTGTAATGCTTCCATAGTGACTGTACCATAATTCTGACTCATCCCTTGTTGTTGGATTCTTGCTTTGTTTGGTACCTTTTTACATTTTACTATAACTTCAAACTTACAGAAAAGCTACAGGACCCTCCCAAAGAACTCCCACTTACCCTTTACCCAAATTTCCCAAGTGTGTACATTTTACCCGATTTGCTTCACAACTTAATGATTTGCTTTATCTATATTTATATGTATTTTCTGAGTCATTTGAGAGTAAGTTGCAGACATTGTATCCCTTTACCCCCACAACTTCAGTATAGATTTTGTTAAGAACAAGGACATTCCCTCATAAGTTATAACCATAAGTACAGTTATCAAAATCAGGACGGTTAACACTGATACAATAAATACTGTTATCTAATCCATGGTCCATATTGAAATCTTGTCATTTGTACCAGTAGTGTCCTTTATAGCGATTCCCTTTTTCCTAGTACAGAATCATGTGTTACATTTAGGTGTAATACATGATGACATGTGTCTCTCTTAATCCAGGAGAGTTCCTCACCCTTTCATTACCTTAGCATTTTTGAAGAATACAGGTCAGGTAATTTGTAGAATGTTCCTCATCTTCGATTGTCTCATGGTTGGTTCCACGTGACTAGATTAGGGTTTTGTGTATTGGGCAGGAACATCTCAGAAGTGAGTGTCCTCAGTGCGTCTTCAGTTGGCATAGGATGTCGGTTGGTCCCATTAATGCTGACATTAACTCTGATCACTTGGTTAAGTTGATGTGTGCCAGGTTTTTTCATTTCAGATTTACTACTTTCCCCTTTGTAATTAACAAGTAATTTGTGGGGAGATACTTTGAGAGCTTTTGTTCTTTATCCAATGTGATTTTCTAACTCCATAATTTCTTCTACATTTATTGGTTGACAATTCTTTCTAAAGAAAAATTCTTTCCCTATTTATTAATCTGCTTATTTACCAATATGGATGAATGGATTCCTATTTTACTCAAAGTTGCAAGGCATTCCTTTGATTTATTTTGTTTCTTATCCATCCAAGATTTCTAGCAAGTTCATGTGTCTTTTTAATGAGTCCCCTTCATTTTTTGAGCACTTTCTTACTTTCTGGCTTAGCAAAATATTCTGGGCTTATCGTATATCTTTCCTGCCCCAGCCCTGGAATCAACCATTTCTCCAAGGAGTCTTGATTCCTTTTTTTTGTTTGTTTGTTTTTTTTTTTAGCTGAACCATCCTGCCACCTGTTGGCAGCTCAGTGGCTGCTCAGCTTGGGCCAGGAATTGAACTGCTGTTGCTCAGAGCTCAAACTCTTGAGTGAGCTCTTAACCAACTGAACCACTTGGCTGGCCCCTGAGTCTTGATTCCTTTTAATGGGAAATTATATTTAGAAACCAAGACTGGATGCTGAGTGTGCTCATTGCTGCTGGAGTGTCACTGCTTCTAGGCTTGGCCAAAAAATCAAGGAAATATTAAGATACACAGAAATGCCGAGAGATAGATAACATAAATAAAGAATTAGAGGGGCCGGCTGAGTGGCTCAGTTGGTTAAGAGCTCGCTCAAGAGTTTGAGCTCTGAGCAACAGC